TTATTTGTTTTGTTCAAGTTATATTTAAACAAATACAAAGACAAGTTAGAGTTGAAATGGTAGCCTTGTAGTATTTGGCTGCTCAGGATCAAAAGTAGCCATTACTTAAGTTGTAGACAAGTTTCAGTGTCAGAACCAGGAGCTCTTACTTTCAGTTATCCATCTTCTATTCCCAGTACTATACACACACTAATGACAAGTTATTTGTATCAAAATTGGTCAACCAATTGAAGGTAACAGGTTTGGCACAAGCAGCAGCCTATCCTGGAGCATGGCATTTCATGTACTGATCTGAAGAAGCCAGTGTGAGTTGAGACATCCATTGATACTAGGTCAGTAGCAAACTTTGTAGAGATAAATGCATGCAAACAGTGCCAAGATATGGTAAACACACTACTATTACTACATTCAGAATATTTCCAAGAAAGAGTACTCTATAATTAGTAGGTTATGACATTTTACCCTCCATCACTAATTGAACTTTTGATCTTCTAGAGGTTCTGTCATTTTCTGTGTGTAGCAAAGATCTTGAATACTGCCCACTAACATGAAGAAAAGAATGCTTCCCATCTAAACTAAACAGCAGTACTAGCCCCTGCTGAACTTGTAGATGCTTCAGCATTTACCTGAAATAGCAGTCACTGATGAACCAGTGCTGATGTAACCAATAACAATTATGTTACCTGAATAAAATTTACCATTGTCAAGACAAGTGTCACAAATTATATAGGAATGTCAGTTGCTGCTGCCTTTTATCTTATCACTGTGATGACCTGTAAAGAATCAGTGACTTTCCCTTTTTATGAAGGCTTGTAAAAAAAAGTTCAACTTGTAAGTCAACCATGAAATTACAGAAACTATACAGTTAGTTATGATTTGTAAGAAACAACTGTGACTTTACAAAAATCTACATTTCTATAGTGATGACTTATAAAAGTTAACTCATACTACACATATTTCAAATGATTCATGATGAATAAACAAAAGTTTTTATTAAGACTAACATTATGTAAGATACCAAAGGTTACCAGTAGCTTTACTCTCTATACAATAAGAGCTTTCTTTTTCAATTTTTAAGTGCCTTTCTCTTCTATATTGCTAATGTTTACAAATATAAGATTTTTATCACCAAACTATGTATAATTATTAAACTTTCCATTATTATTAATAAGGGGTTAAAGTTTAAAAGTTTATGTTCTTAGACTGTGAAGATGTTTAAGATTAGGCTTTAAAGGGCTGAGAGAAGAAAACAAAATATTAACTAATAATAATAAAAAAAATAGAAAAAAAAATAAAGAAAAGAAATACAGATTACAAGTCAACAAAAAAAGAAATTTCAAACTACATAACTAAGTTCAATAACCTTTTCACCATATACATAAACACAAAATGAATAGCAGGCCAGTAAAAGATGTAGTCTAAGCACTCACATCTCACTCCTCATTATTGTTCCTCAGCAGTCTGCATTACAGCTTTAACTAGAGTTCCAGAAGTTAATTGGAAAGACAAAAGGTCTTACTCCTCATCATCATTGTTCCTCAGCAGTCTGCATTACAGTTTTTATTAATGTTCTAAAAACTAACTCAGAAGACAGGACATCCTCAACATCTTTTGTTACCACAATAAACATCTTCCAAACAACTTCTGAAATTACTTTGCAAGTGTTGTAGGATTTTTTTCTTTCATCCTCCTGTTCAATCTAACATTGTTCATTATAAATTATTTTCATCACTGTCTAGTTGTTTCAATATTTTGTCCACTTGTACTTTATCAATGCTCATATGTATCTTTATATGTATAATGTACTAATTAAATGCACACACTAAAAAAAAAGGTAAATTAAGAAATTCACCTTTATCAAATTTACAATGGAACTTATGCAATTTACATCTTATTCAACTAACCAATAAAAAGTTTTAAAAATCAAAATAAGGCAAAAATAATTTTCCTGTGATTATATTAGTTGTTACCTAATCTGTCTATTAACAAATCATATACTAATCCATGTATGATATCATTTCCAATTTAAAAAATAACTTTCCATCCCCTGTAATATGACATTTCTCTATCAATAAATCAAATCAGTGACCATATAAGGCACCACTTCCTTTAGAGTATCATTTTCTTGAACATTTTTAAAAGTTCTGTCTTGTTGAATTCCATCACAATGAAGACATTGTTGGTTACGTAAGGCAAATGTGTAAGTCGTCTTTCAACCACCATCATTCCTCGGGTCAGCTGCCCATTAAGTTCCACGTAAACACATTTCTCATCCTTTTTAACAATCACTCGAGGGTTGACAACCACACACATAGCAAACAAATCACAAAGATGAAGTCCATTGCAACCTGGTATGTTTCGGGCCCTATTAATGGAATGTTCTGTCATTTTTTGGACTAAATATCCTCGAGGAGTGTCTGTTTTTCGCCAATCGTCCAACCAGTTCTGTGATAATAGTTATAGCATTATATAAGCTAAAGACATAGATTTTTGATAATAAAGTCTCTGAACTATCAATTTTATGATATTAGAATCAATCATAACAAGCCATAATGCTATATAAACTCAAACTACATGAAATGTTAATATTTAAGTCTCTAAGCTATCACCAAATGAATATTTGTTAGTATACAATGTTAGATGAAATCATAACAGCTAAGTACGAACACAGTCATGAGCAGGAACTTAACTAAATCTAACTAATGTTTAGTCAATGATACTTAGTAAATTCAGTCACATCCATATCTTGTTAGGAGTTCATGTGTAAGAAATTGAATCTAACCATATCAACGATGTTGAAAAGATGACAGCACCATATTTTGGATACAGTGATAATAAAGTCTTAACAAAGAACATCATTCTGCTACTGATTATGAGACAATGACTACTTATACTTACCCAATCAAGAGCATATTTATGGCAGACTTCCAGTGGAATAACAGTCACTGGACATTCAGCTTCTTTCAGCAAAATGTTAGCTGCCTCAGGATCAGAAGCAAAGTTGAACTCTGCTGCTAAGTAGGAGTTTCCAAAACCTGTACAAAATGTTAAGTAAAACTCATTTTCTACTTGTTCTAACTTAACAGGAAAGCATAAAAAAACTTTTTTTTTATATGTACAAGTCCTAATAGTGTACATTAAACCTTACAACGTTTAAACTGTGAGTTTTGTACAGTTAAAAGAATTATCTCTTGATAGCTAATAAGCTAGGTTTAGAACAATACACAGAATAAAGTAGTTTTGAATCTTAACATCTGTTCCAAATATTGTTATGATTAAACAATCTTGATTTAGTTTAACCATCAAGTTAGTGACTTTGATCTCAGCAGTTATTAGTAGGATTAATTACAATACTGATGGCATTTTTGTTTCAATTTAGGTGTTTGTAACTCGCATTATTAGAAACCCTGTAACCAACAAAATCATGGATCCATGAGAAGTTTTGTATATAAGCAATTTAAAAACATTTGCTTAAAAAGACGATGAGGGTCCATATATTAGTAATTTACAATTTAAATGATTAAAAGTGAAGTTTTCAAGAGCACTGAGAAGCCTTATTCTTTCAGGTTACTTATATTAGTGCATTTAATAAATTCCCATTTTAAACGTTCTTTAAAATAATAATCAAATGCATTTAATGAAAATATAAGAAAAAATATTCCCTACCATTAATGTTTCCCCCCATAATTACAAGTTCCTTTAAATTTTTAGTGAATTCTGGATCTAATCTCTGAGCGACTGCAATGTTTGTCAGTGGACCTAATGCCACAACCACAAGATGTTTTCTATGTTCACGAGCAAGTCGAACAAGAACATTAGAAGCATGCTCTGGGCTTGCAAGTTGTAAACAATCAGTTGGAAATTCTGATGCTACACCACCAAATCCATCCTTTGAATGGTAATCACTGCCTAAAAGTTCATTACTAACCAGAGCTTTTTCACATCCCTTGTAGACAGGAACCTTAGAAATAAATAAAAGTTAATAAATGCAATGTATGCAACTCAGAAAAATACAGAAAATGATTTATCTATAATTCTTTCCACTATGTTTGGCAAGTGTGTGTCCAACCTCTGAAACAACATCAAGAACACTGTTGTGGCTATTGAAACTATGAGCATTACTACCAGTAATGTTTGAAGATAAAGGATGTAAAACTTACGAAGCAATTATTTTTTTAAACCACTTATTAATTTACTTATTTGGCAATAAAGCAATTTGAACTATTTATTAGTAAGTCTAAGAAGCTTAAATATTTATGAAATATTACTATAACAATCAGGTGTCTTTATATAGATTATGTCACACATCTCTCCAAAACTCAACTCTAGTCACCAGGAAAAATCTGACTTGATGGAGATAATATGGCCAAAACCTTAACTACACCCTGATTTAACGGTGGTATTGTAGTCAATGCATTAACCATGTTCTATTTTTACTACAGATTTTTAAAAATTTTGCATTTGTAATTTTGGCTCTGCTAGTGCTAAGTGTATTTAGTAATTTTGATACTTTGTTTTTTTTGTTTAACTTACATAAAAACTGGTACTTTTACTAGTCATTCACAACTTATTACAGAGAATATTAAATTAAGTTATTCACAAATACACATTATAATCACAAGCTGGTGAAGACAAACTAGTCTTAATACTGTAATATTATTAAGTGTGCTTTTAGGTATGTAGATAATGGTTGCCATCTTAAAGTTTGTTTAAAATATTTTGATAGTTTCATTCATGATTGTCAGTTGATTCTTGAAAACATTAAAAACTGATTACTGTATGAAGCACTTTTGAAGGTAGGTCTTCTTTCATATGTTTGAAAATTGTATTTTATATAAACAATTATGTAATATTTTCAACAGTGATTACATGATTAATATACATTTCATAAACAAAGTATAACAGTAAGTGAATTATAAAAAGTCAGCACCAGTAATACATTTTAGGTTATATTTTATATCAAAAACAAAAGTTACACACCTCATGCTTACCACAAACCACTAAAGTTCGCATAACATTTTGGCATACTTGATTAAGATTAACATTTCCATAGCAGCATGTGATACACAAAACTTTCCAATCATCATGACTGACAGCCATCATGATGGCAAGAGCATCATCTACTCCACAGTCTGTATCTATCACCATTATATTTTTACTTGCCTCTTCCATGCTTATTTCTGTAAAGTTTTAGAAACAAAAAACTATGATTAATAGTAATAAAAAGGTTTTGCTGGAATTTCATCCCACGAGAAAAATTTTGATGTGATATCTTTAAAGATTGGAAGAATTAAGGCTGCTAAATAAAACAACACCCCTTAGTTTCAAATTTATTTGTTAATTTTCTGTTTTGGGATATTCTTATAAAAATAAGTATTTTTCAAAGCAAACTTGTTAATTTCTGCATATGATATTCAGTAAAAAAAAACCCAAATACCAGTTGATAAACATTGACATTAGGTGCTATCAAAATTAAGGTCCCAGAAAACTGCAAACTATCATAGTGTAAAGCAAGAATAACTTTAAAAATAACTTATGGTATTATTAATATTATCAGAAACAAATAACAAAAAATATATTGTTAACATGGGGTATGAATAAGAAGTCACAAAATACACCTAACATATGATCTAGTGCTGTTGATAATTTAACTTTTTTATTAGAACACAAGATAATTTATAAACTTTGTCTTCCACTGTCAATTAAAATAAATATAAGAACCAATTCTTTTTATACAGATTTCCTATCGACTTTGAATATATATTACAATCAAAGTGTTAAGATTTGAACAAATCGAGCTGTTCTCCCCCAGTCAAATATAAGCAAGGAAACAGAATTAGTAACTCATGCATTTCACGACGAGTGCCGCTGTGCTGCGAAATCTCATTCCTGGACACTCCCCAAATTCTATCCGTCTACAGTCTAGCCATATCCTACTCATAAATTGCGTGTTTCAAACAATATATCTTAGGTAATATTGGTGCTATTTTTTCGTTGATATAAAAAATTATATTTGTATATTTCCTTTTATGAAAGTAATTTTGTTTATGTACTTATTTTAATTCATAAATACTACTGGTTCTATCGTTCACTGACAAGCGCGCACCATGCTGGTCACAGATATTTGTCACAGAGTTAAGTGTCAATTGTGAGTTTGACATGGAAAACTAACGGCAACAGTATATTTTCAATTAAAACTAAAAGTATATTATTATTTAAACGATCTTTTTTGTATTAAAACTTACCTTAAGTTTAGATTAGTGTTGACAACTAATGAAGAAAAACTTGAAAACTGACCCAACATCAAACTTGTTATAGTATTGTTGCGCCTCCGTTCGTTAGTTAATTTTCTGTAAAAATTCTTTCGGAAGAAACTTTACCGATACAAGTCCTTTCTTAAATAAAACTGGTTTATTCTTTCTAAATATAACTTTACGATATACTTAATTTCAACAGTCGCGCTATAACAAGCGCTATAATTCTCAACGAACGTCTCACGTGCTCGACTTCAACAATACTCAGTTCAATTACACAAACATTGTTCCGTCACGTTGTGACCGTCTTATATATACCAGCCTACCCCCAATCTAGTAGTCTCCCCACAATTCACGAAGGTTCGAGAAGGACGTGGCAGGATACTAGTCACATGACCTCGCTGACGCAACACTGCCCCTCCTTAGTATTGTTCGTCCCGAACAATAGCCACTTACAATAAACCAATAACAATAACTTAATTAAATGTACAGAATTACAGTCACAAAATTACAATTCAACAAAGTCTCTTAATTTTACGGGACGTATCTTCTTCCATACTGGTCTCCGTCTCGTTGGCTTCTGTTTCATGTGGGGTTCATCTGCTTCATCAGGAAATGTCCTATCGTCAGTAACAGTCACATCAGTGGTAGTAACTTCATCAAGAGCTTCACCATTTCTCTTCTCAAAACTGAGTAGAGTTTCTTCTTCAACATTGGCTTTTTCAGGTGACACGTCTTCAGCAGCGTCATTTGTTCTGTTGTTCACTTCTTCCCAACTGAAATGTCCTGGACTGTGATAACGCCAAAGCCTGTTGGTATGCACCACTTTTGGCTTACCTCGCCGACCACATTTTATCCGGAAAGTCACGTCCGAGAGACGATCCACTATATCACCTAATTAGTTCAACATCTCT